TTATATTATTCGAAATTTAAAATAAAAAAAATAATATTATTCAAATTTAAATTTAAAATATAAATTATAGTATTCGAAATTTAACATTAAATTTCAACTTAATATTCCAATTGTATTCGAAATTAAAAGTTATATTCCAATTATAGTTCACAATACTTAAATTGAAATTAAATTTATCCATACATATGATTTTATCATTAACATATATATTAAAACGTATACATTAAAATCAACTTATGTTGAGTTCATCGATCGATGGAATCAACCAAGAGGGGGGTGAATTGGCAATTTATTCAATGTCACATTTCAATGCTCATTCCATACAATTTCAATGTCACAATCAACTTATCACTTCACATTTATTCAATTTATCCATAACATTTTATCTAATTTATTCAAACTTCACATAACGTTTAATTTAAGTTATTCTTAACTTGTTGAACTTTCAAAGAAGTTAAATTTAAGTTATTCCCCGAGGGACATGAGTGACATAATAGGGCAATGATAACATATTCTCTGAAAATAATGGAAGGCGCGCCCCCGGGAACGCGCCTTCATGTGAATAGTGAAATAATAGGTACTGATATATCTAGTGTCCCCGAGGGACATGAATAACATAATAGGGCAATGATAACATATTCTCTGACGAAATAATGGAAGGCGCGCCCCCGGGAACGCGCCTTCATGTGAATAGTAAATAATAGGTACTGATATATCTAGTGTCCCCGAGGGACATGAATGACATAATAGGGCAATGATAACATATTCTCTGACGAAATAATGGAAGGCGCGCCCCCGGGAACGCGCCTTCATGTGAATAGTGAAATAATAGGTACTGATATATCTAGTGTCCCCGAGGGACATGAATGACATAATAGGGCAATGATAACATATTCTCTGACGAAATAATGGAAGGCGCGCCCCGGGAACGCGCCTTCATGTGAATAGTGAACCGATTATAGGCACTATTATGCAACGTATTATAAACTTTCAAAACAAACTTCAGTTCACAATCTTTCAAATTCTCAAATTCCCAAACTCTAAATTCTCAAATTCTCTGAAAATGAGTCGTCTTTCTGCTTTTGTTTTGTATAATGGAGAAATTAAGGAAGCTGAAGAGGGGGTTGTTTTTGAGTCAGATCATTATATCCCCTTAACCTTGAAGAGAAACATCACAATTGAGGAGTTAATCACAAAAATTTCGTTAAAGATTCGTGTAGCAGGCCAGAGAAGACTATCTTCACTTCAGTACAGATTTCCTACTGACTTTTTCCGCTCACGTATACATCATTTCAGCTTTCAAACGATGATGATGTTCTATGATGGTTGATGCTCATATGGGGAGTTTCACAATCTCTTATTGAAATGTATGCCACTTTTATTGAGGTTCGTGCAACTCGTGGTCTCTCATATTCCTCTCACTTTGGCATTGCATATCAACTGATCAAGTTGATAGCCCGACACAACTGATCTGTAATGATTTCACATCATTAATGGCGGATCCACGCCATATACCATGCCATCAAGTTCAATAGAAGGCATTCATCTGCAACTGCTTATGATCTCAACCCACGTGGCTTCACCAATAATCCATATGCAACATCTCTTCTACTTCAAGGGGCAGACATTCATCTGCCAATGTTTTCGACTTACATATGGAAATGCCAACGAGACGACAGTCTATCACATCCCACATGATACAATGGCCTCAATTCAAGGGGAGACACGCAAGCGGAACTTATTTGACCTCAATTGGATTATCGGAGGAACCCTCATCTCCACCAGAAGACCTCTTCGGGAGCCAAGTGCAAATGCTGAAACGGGATTATTCGTTGAACCTGACTCACCACAGTTTAACGTACTTCTGATGATGACGAGGATGACTTCCGATAATACACACCAGCCGAACTTCCTGCACATATGTATAGGCTGATTAGATGCAATGTATGAGCCTGAATTTCCAGATCTTCCTGATGTTGGCAACTATGGACTTCAATCATCAGTCAATGACTGTAATTTACATATTGGAATGGAGTTCGCATCGAAGGAGGAAGCATGATGGCAATAAAGAGTTACAATATTCGTAACTCAGTTCAGTCCCGAGTTGATCGATCTAACGGAGAAATATGTCTGCTACTGCGTCCAACGTCACAACGGATGCCAATGGATGGTCCGTGTATCAAGAGAAAGAAGAACACTTATGGGAACTACCATACAACGGTCCTCATACATGTGTGCAACAGTATAAACCAGATCATCCCAACTTGGACTCCAACATTATTTGTCAAGCAATCATGCCCATTGTGAAGCAAAGCTCTCATATAGCTGTTACATGTTGATTTCTGCTATACAGTCACAATATGGGTACATTGTCTCATATAAAAAGCGTGGTTGGCAAAACAGAATGCCATTTGCAAACTTCATGGCGAATGGGATTCCTCTTACAACGAGCTGCCCAGTTGGTTTCATGTTGTGCAAAGACTTAATCCCGGGACAATTGTTGAGTTCGAAACTCAACACATTACGTGAATGATCGAATGGTTCGCGATCGCTGCCAATTTTACCGAGTCTTTTGGACTTACCCTCAGTGTATTAATGCAGTCATACTGTAAACCAATTGTCCAATTGATGGTACTTTCTTGTATGGAAATACAAGCAAGTTTTATTATTGCTGTGGTCCAAGATGGAAACCGCAATATTCTTCCTGTTGCGTTGCCCTCGTTCAAGGAGAGACACTGAGTCTTGGGCTTTTTTTCCTTAAAAATTTACGTTTACATGTTGTCACCAGGAACGACTATGCATTATTTCAGACCGAGGAGCCGGGATAAAGCAACAATGGACTCTTTGGGTACAATGTATAGACCTCCACATGTTCAACATCGTTATTGTGTCCGTCTATTACTGCAAACTATTACGGAAAATACAAGAAGAACTGAACGTCAGTTAGTCGTGCGGATGGGTATGTTACTTTTTCCCATTTTTCTATCATTTCTATTACTTATTACTTTTTATACTATTACTATTACATTTCCTAAGGCTTAGGTTACGAACTCTTACCTCAAAGGTTTGAGTCGACGCTACAAGAGCTGTTTGGCAAAAATAAGAAGGGGTGCGAGTACATTATGGACATCAGCAAAGAAATTGGACAAATGCATATGACGGGGGTATCGCTATGGTCATATGAACAAACTTGGCTGAAGCAATAAATTCAACCTTAAAGGGGGCGCGTCATTTACCAGTCACGGCGTTGGTCAAACGACTTATTTTCGTTTGGGTCAACTCTTTGCAAAACTCGATGGACAGCTCTTACTTGGATGCAAAACGGACATTTACCACCCAAGACTAGTACCGATTTACAGAAAAAGTGGCTACATCAAATGGGATGTTAGTTACAAATTTTCTCGCGCAAAGAAATGTGGACAAATGCATATGACGGGGGGTATCGCTATGGTCATATGACAACAAACTTGGCTGAAGCAATAAATTCAACCTTAAAGGGGGCGCGTCATTTACCAGTCACGGCGTTGGTCAAAACGACTTATTTTCGTTTGGGTCAACTCTTTGCAAAACTCGATGGACAAGCTCTTACTTGGATGCAAAACGGACATATTACCACCCAAGACTAGTAGCCGATTTACAGAAAAAAGTGGCTACATCAATGGGATGTTAGTTACAATTTTTCTCGCACCCGTGAATTGTTCGTGTAACCGAAATGCCACGTCCGCTGCAAGAAGCTAACTCTTTCAGAGTTAATCTGCAAGAGAGGTGCGATGGGTGGTTTCTTTCAAGCACTCAATATCCATGCTCTCATGTCATTGTGCTTGCTCACATTCGCATTTGGACTACAAAAATTGATCCCGTATACCAACTTTCACAAGTTTTCAAGGTATATGAATGAGTTTCCGCCCAGAAACGAAAGAGACCCAAAGATTCAAACTTGGCTTACAATTGTACCAGATCCATTGCTATTGAGGGACTCAGGTCGTCCAAAATACTAGAATACATTGTGATATGGATATTCGGGAGAAGTCAACAGAACAAAACGATGTGGGCATTGTAGAAACATCGGCACAATAGAAAAAATGTCCAGCTCTGTTCATCATATACCGTTAACTCTTATGTAATTAATGTTTTTTAAATGAATGTTTATTTCTAATAATTTAATGTTATTGCATTTAGATAATTTGTCAATGTAGTACACCTAAATAATTTTTTAACTTTTAAATACATAAATATATTTAATATATTTATTTAATATATTAATATATTAGTTATAATTTTTTTAAAATTAATAATATTCCACCTTCTAAGTAGAGAAAATATTAAATTAAACAATAAAAGTTATTAAAAAATTTATGTATACGATGACACATTTCATGTTCTGATTGGGGATTTAAATTATTAAATTAAATTTTCAATAAGACTAATTTTATAAAATATGTAAGTCTTGAAGATTAAACATGTAATTATACTAATTTATTAACTTATGCATCAATATTTTCGTTAAATATTGATATGAGATGACTAGATTGATAACATTTAAATAATTAACTGATAAAATTAATAGATCGATAATCAAATCAAAAATACTCGAAACTTAATAATTCTTACATTATAATCGAAACATTTACATAATATATTTAATTTATAATAATAATAAAAAAAACTATTTATATAAAACAAAATATGTGTCTGCTGAGTTGGCAAAGGCGCGTCCCCGGGGACGCGCCTTTCACACGTGGCATCCAACTCAGCGACAACACGGGTAAAGCGCGCCCCCGGGGACGCGCTTTGCCAAATCAGCAGAAAGGTGCTAGTTCTGGAAATATTGGTCAAATGGTGTCAGAAAAGTAAAATTAAAAACATGGGGTGTCAGTTATGTAAAAACCCCATTAAATAAAGGACCATTCGCATAAATTTCAAACACAGTTAATCACGATTATTATTTCCCTTATTCAACGATCTTCGCTTCATATCTAAAAAAAAAAACAGAGAAACTCCCAGCTATGGTCTCCGCTCCTATTGAAGATTTAATAAAGAACACTTAGAATTCTCAAATTTCAAAAAATTCAAAATCTTGAACCCTAATTCCCTTATTCCTTCCCCAAACGTAATAATACCCAGGTAAGGGCTCTTTCCTTTTCCTTTTCCTTTCCTTTTCCGATTTGTTCCCTTATTGAACATGAAAGATGGTGGCTTGGAGAATAAAAAGGAACTAGAAAATTCAAAAAAACAATCGAATTCTTCCAAATTTCGTAGCAAAAGTGATGATTTCGCCCTTTCAATTGCCAAGGTTGCCGTTGCACAAGTGTGCGAAAGCATAGGTTTTCAGAGTTTCCAACACTCTGCTTTAGAAACATTGTCCGACGTTGCTGCTCGATACATTTATACCCTAGGAAAAACTGCGAATTTTAATGCTAATTTGGCAGGGAGACTGGAATCGAATGTCTTCGATGTCATCCAAGGGTTGGAAGAGTTAGAATCGGGTTTAGGGTTTGCCGGTGCATCCGATGTTAATCGATGTCTTGCTAATTCGGGGGTTGTTAGGGATATCGTTCACTTTGTTGGTGATGCGGTGGATGTCCCGTTCGCTTATGATATTCCACGGTTTCCGGTTGTTAAAGATCGGAAGGGAATGGGGAGTTTTTGGGAAAAAGGAGAAGAGCCTCATGGGGAGCATATACCTAGTTGGTTGCCGGCCTTTCCTGATCCCGAGACTTATGCTACTCAATCGACTGTAGGGAATGGAACGATGAGTGGCTCCAATGGAGTGAAGACTGGGTTAGTGAGGGTTGAATGGAAGGTAGAGAGGCCGTTGTTGAACTTTCAGCAGCAGTTTGCTCGTAATGGGAATGTAGGAGATTCTTCATGTGGTGGTGGAGATTCTACTAAAGCGAAGGAGGCTTCTAATAGCAATCCTTATCTTGCTGCACCTCTGCATTTTGGGGAAAAAGAAGTGGATGTATCACCTGTTGTTCTTCCAACTAAGCTTTCAAATGAAGTGGCTTCGAGAGATCCGATTCCAGAAAATCGTTTCTTGGGAAATCAAGTCTCAGTGCTAGAGACATTTGCTACTGCTATTGAAGCAATGAAGAGTGGGATATGTGAATATGACGGCAGCAGACAGAAAAATGTTCTTTATAACCAGAGGCCCACGGTTCATTTTAAGATTGGAATAGGGAAGAAGTCCTTAAACAGTGCACCATATTTCATTTCCAAGAACAAGGATCTCCAGAAGATTGCATACTGGTTTGAAAATGGCAACGAGAAAGATGACAGGAAAAGAAGAGCAGAGATTTTTTCGAAAGAATCTATGGAATGTTCTCACGAATCAGGTCAGTTGTAATATAGGGTTGTTACCATTTTTATGGATTTCTCTAAGAAGGTCCCTATAAATGGACAATGAAAAGCACCAGATAGAAGTCTTCTACTTTGACATCTTTCTTAAGGCATGATTCTTTTTAATTGAAATTCTTGTTTCTTCTTTGGTGGTCTTTAACTGATCATGGATTCATCAGTTTCTGTTTCAGCCTGAACTCTAGTTGTACACTACGTTGAAGCTTTACACGATACTGTATTAGCATTTGTTATTAGTGAAGGCAGTTTAATTTAACATCACTTGCTTTCTGCATAATTTGGAGAACGAACATGATTTGCTGTAATCAATCTTTAACACAAATCATGTCGTCCAAACTATTAAATAATTAAAGGTGGATAATAGGGATGTATAACTCAGGGAAAGTTTCACGTGCGACAGTCTTAATATACGGCTAAAGAAAGGCGCAACCGGTTTTGTTATTATTTTTTTAACAAAACCGGTAAAAAATTACCTAAAACATTATTATTTCTACCGGTTTTGTTATTATTGGGCGCTTTACCAGTTTTGTTAACATATCCGGTAAAGCGCTACATAAAACATTATTTTTTCTACCGGTTTTGTTATTATTGGGCACTTTATCGGAAATGTTAAAAAATATTAATGTTTTAGGTAGAAATAATAATGTTTTAGGTAATTTTTTACCGGTTTTGTTAAAAAATAATAACAAAACCAGTAGTGCGTTTCCTTAGCTGTATATTAAGGTTCGCAAGGTAGAACTTCCCATAACACAGATAATTCAGATACTAAAGGCTAGTGGAACTCATCAGATTAATGACCCAAAATTCAAATATTTGTGAACTGCTTTGCTGATTTGAATTTCCTCAACAATTTATCTTCCAGAGTTAGGGTATTTCTTCTTGTGATCTGAAGATCTCCCCTTTTATCTTCTTGTAATTTATTTTGGTTCTTCTGAAACTAGAGTTTGTTATGTTCAACTTCATTGTTTAATTAGTAAATCCTCAGACGAAAGATATAGTGTTTAGCATATTCATGCTATTATTTAATTTGAATTTTATACAACCAAAATAGAATCTTAGAAATAGAGATGGGATTCTTTTTAGAAATCATGGACAAAGCCAAGCGAATCTTCCTTAAAGTCAATCGATCTTTCAGTAGGCGGTTGCCCCGATCCAATCGAGGGATCGAATATATTATAGAAACATGAGTTTAATTAGTCGATTTATTAGTGAATAAGGGAAAAATGTTATCTACACGAGTAAATATATTGATCTTAAAACAAAATGATTAATTACTATTGCTATAAAACAAGTTCATATTTTATCTTTGTTAACCTTTCTTAATTCTTAACAATTTGAAAGAAAATGAGTCTACCATTGGAACTACTTCTCTTAGAACCAGAAATAAATAGGCTTACCCCTTCAATATCATCAAACTTAGACTAATGCTTTATTCAACAAACTCTGATATATATATATATATATATATATATATATATATATATAATTCAAAGGATAAAGTTAGATAAATGACGTAAACTTCTCCAGAGGTGACCTTCTTGATGCTTCCTGGCTCACCAGTTCCCTGAATGTACTCAACACTCTTAAAAGCCTGAGGGACAATCTTGGGAATGAAATTGTCACCGTCAGCAATACAAGCCTTAAACATCCTGGCTGGTGGGATTGCAGTAATAATATCAGATTCATAAGTGAAAACTCCCATGATTATATTCTAGCGATTTTTAGAAGTGTTTAAAGAGGTTTTTCAGCTGTGGACATGTAATTGGAAGATGGTGTGTTTATAGACTTTCAGAATAATGAAGAGTTGCAACTTCGATCCTGGTTTGCGCAAGGACCTTACGACCTCTCGATCTGAAGCTGATAAGCTTACAGTAATGGACAAAATCAAGGTTCTTGAATGCAGTCAATATCAAAAGAAAGATTTATAATATTTTAAATAAAAATGTAAGATCTTGAATCCAAATGCTTGGACTATGAGGAATGTGGTAAATTCTAAATATAGGTTTGTATGATAGATAAGTTACTGCTATCATTCTGGTTTCATCCTTGTATGTCAGTTGGCCCTCTCTCCTTGGCTTTGAATTAAGATATACGTGTAATGGTGGTTCTTTTATTGCCTGATTAAACATGCAACAACGAGTAACTTGCTAGATATTCTTGTTTTGTACGAATGCCATCTTTATTCAATCCTTAAGTTTGTATATGTTCTGCTTCTCACATGTATCTTGTGATTACAAGTAAAGAACGAATGAAGTGACTGGTTGGTCGGTTATTAAAGTGATAATGCCGAGTCCATCGATAACTTTACTACAAAGTTTTGTCCTTCAAAGATTCAAAAGATTTGCCCACCATATCGTCAGCAGAACAGATCAATGCTCTCTATGCAAGAAAGTAGTGAAGATGAATCAAAGAAGAAGATATAATAGCGGGTGCTTTTCAAGCCAAGAACAAAGAATAGTGGTTGCATACATCACATGGTTGAATCCAATATTGATCCTTACTCTTCTACATTATTGGAGACCTAGTCTCTATAATGGTGATTACTGGATCAGACTGGGTGGGTGATGTATTATGTTGTAGCAGAGTACGAGGACAAGGATTTTTGTTTAGGCTTTAAATGTTAGAATATTATGTTAAAATTAGCTAAATGATTGCTGTTGGGTTTGTAATGGTCAGCAACCAATGCATGGAGTACAAGTGAAAAATATCTTAAGTTTCTCAAACATAATTATCTGCTCTTATCTCGTTTCTCCTCTTTCTCTCTTAATTCCATCGTCGTCATCGTCTTTTATTTAATGTTTGTGATGATATACGAGAATGGGAGAAACAAGGGACAAGGAGGAAGTAGAAGTGGAACCCCCTCACTCTATCACTACTGATGACTGGGTAGGTTTTATTTCATGTTTAATATGGATATTCTGTCTACTCTACTGAACTCCTAAACTGTTGTAATATATATATAAAGAAAAACTCCATGTGAAATTAGGGTTTGTTTTGATATGTTTGTTGTTGAAGAAAATCCTTACCGAGTTCGAATTGGCAGAAGCTGGATGACGAATGGGATGATTTAGAACACATGTTCATCATTGAGGCTGCTCTAAGAGAGTGCTTCTACCAACTCTAGTCGAGAGTAAGGCACCATGCTGTATAGCTTGAAGCCAAAAAGGAGGTTAAATCTAGAGAAGATTACCAATCAAGTTTTTCTCAACTGCGGTCAGGAGAGGTTGAAATGACAGAAGCCAATCAACTTCGGTCGGATGATGTTGAGTCGATGGAAAGCACAAATGAGCTTCCACGGTCAGAATATGTTGAGTCAACAGAGAGCTCAACCGAAAATCAAGTTGAGTAGATGAAGATGATATCAATTGAAGATGAGTTGTAAAAGATTGAACTTCAGTAGTTTACTAAAGATTGTGTTGAAAGAGAAGCAACTTGAAAAGACGAGAACATTGTGAGGAAAGACCGGAAGAAGTCGCATGTTCAACATTCATTATAGAAACCCTCAGGCAATTGAATATCTAGTTCTCAGTTAAGTTTGTTTGAGTAGCTTGGATTGCTAAACAGCCCAACCTATTATATATCGAGCTTGATCCTGCACAGCACTCAACTTCCACAACAAATGTACGGATATTGTGCCGCATGCTATGAACGTAGCGCAGACTGGACCGGCGCAGCAGTCAACTTTTTCCACACCAAATGTTCATATATTTCCGATTGTTATAAACATTCACTATCACCAGGGTAGTTAGGGATGAAAATGAATTGAGTTTGAACAAAAAAAATGTTATATTCGTATTCGATTGTTTATTTTTAAATGTGTTTATCTTTAGTTCGTTTAATTTTTTAATATATTGTTTGTGTTTGTTTATTTATTTTTGAAGGTGTTTGTATATGTTTATTTAGTCTTTGCGAATATGTTCGTTTATATGTCTGTTAACATGTTTATTTAGTGTTCGCGAATATATTCATTTGCAAGTTAAAAATTATGCCTTCGTAGTTTAAGCTTCAAGTTTCATTATCTATTCAATTTAGTCTTTTTGTCCATCAATATTTAAAATATAAAAAAAGTAAATGAGTTTGATTATGAAGATAAACGAATGAGCTCATAAATCAGCTTGTTCATGAACATAAACGAATCGAACACATCTTTATTCATATTTGTTCGTTTATTAAATAAACATAAAAAAATATGGGTAAACTACAGGGTGACCATTAAATTATAAAAAAAATTATAGGTATTTAATTATCCCATTTCATTTTGATAACTGACGTTTCGATTTGATCAATCATATCATCCAACTATTTAAATAGTTCAATCAAATCATAATTATATGAAGCATATTTACACATTATATCAAGCCATAATAACCCTCCAATCCAGAAGTGCCACATGTCATTACATGATTGGAAGGATAATTTAATTAATTTTAATATTTTAATTAAATAAATTTTCTCACACTACCTGTGTGTACAGGGGAAAACATTTTAAAATAAGGAATAGAGATGGAGAGATTTAAACCAAGGACCCCTTGGCTCCCTAAGTATACCTTTGCCATAAATCCAAGCAATCCACTTAGTATTAAATTACACAATATTTTATATATTGTGTTTGAAATTATATATATATATATATATATATATATATATATATATATTATATATATATATATATATATATATATATATATATAATTATTAATAAATCTAATAAATAAATCATATTTCATATATATATATATATATTAAATTATATTTAATGTAAGACTTAAAAATAAAAATAATTTTAATTTTTTAATTAAATTATTTTTATTTTATGATTTGAATTCTCTAAATAATTTTAATATAATTTTATTTTTAATATAATTTATATATTATCATTTAAAAATAATTGTAAAAAAATTTAAACAAAAATATCAAGCTCATTTTTATTTTTAAATCTTACATCGACTATAATTTAATATATATATATATATATATATATATAATATAATATAATTTATTTATTAAATTTATTTTAATAATTATATATATATATATATACACGTGTGAGAGAGAGAAATACTATCAAACACAACATATAAAAAAATTGTACAATTTGAAATCAAATGGATGGTCTAGCCCATTGACAAAGGCATGCCTAGAGGACCCAAGGGGGTCCCTGGTTCAAAACCAACCCCCACCACACCCCCAAACTCACCTCTCTTCTAAAATGTTTGGTGTTAAAATTTATTTAATTAAAATATTAATAATAATTAAATTAACTCTTGAATGACATGTGACTCTAATTAAATATTAAGATTAATATATTTATTTAATTAAACTAAAATAATGACTAAATTGATAGAATATTCAAATATTAAGAGTTAAATATATAATTATGTTAATTTTATTAACTGTCAGTTCATCATTTCCGTTAAAAATTAACAGCAAATCAAAACGATAGTAGTTAAAATGAAAAGAGACAATAGTTTAACAGTTATCGTGTAGTTTACCCAAAAATTGTTCACCCTCATTTATTTAACTTAATAAACAGACATAAACGAATGTTATATGAATGATTTAGTAGGTATGTTCATTTAAACCATAATATGCCATTGAGATCCCAAGACAACTAAAGCAGAATTAAATAGTTTACTTATACTACAGAATGTCTTTCGGTTGCACCTTACAAATCAGTGGAGTTAGCAGTGAAACTTTGCTTTAAATAACCATATATCATACGAGTAGTTCTGCGGTGCGACGCCTAAAAAACGGCTAATATACGGCTTGACCGGTTAAATAAGTGACCGATTAAAATTTAGACCGGTTATTTTATATTATTTAACCGGAAATATTATCAAGTACAATAACATATTAGGTAACGCTTATATAATGTAATAGATAGCGCTTATATAATAAAATAGGTATTTAACGGAAATATTATCAAGTACAATAACTATTAGGTAACGCTTATATAATGTAGATAGCGCTTATATAATAAAATAGGTATTTCATTATGGACAAAAATATCGACACAAACTAAAAAAGTGTCGATACATGATTTAGACCTATTCTCTCATAAAACCGGTATAATTATACCGGTTTCATTGAACATTATACTTATGGGTTTCGATGTTTTAGGGATCGATACTTTTTTAATAAATGTATCGACACTTTAAGGGTACACCTTTTTGGCATTCATTCTAGACCGTAAGTCGACACAACTTTAACAAGTGTCGATACTATATGCTGACCTATTTTAGCATAAACCGATATTTTATATCAGTTACATTGTAAATTTACCTAATACATTATAATTATTGGTTTCGATATTTTTGGGATCGATACTTTTAATAAGTGTCGATACTTTATGTTAACCTAATATATTATGCGTGCACCTCGTTTGGGTTGATACTTGTTACATTGTTAATTTACCTATTACATTATAATTATTGGTTTTGATGTTTTTTGGGTCGATACTTGTACTTATTGTACATACCTAAATATGTACTGCGAATTTAATGTTGTACCCACCCTTTAACTACCACTACCATACCACATCCTATTGAAAGCAGCACGACTGAAACATGTTCAAAATGAACCTTTGCTTACATCTCCATCAACTCTGGACCACTGAACTTGCACAACAAATTTTTGCCATGGATAATACTGATGTAGACAATGTTAGCCAACCGAGGAATGCCATGAAGTACATAATGTTGATGAATCTAACAGATTTGTTGGTCAGCTCTTCGTTCACGTGATCAAGCTTGTACTTTTACAAGGATTCGCACGGGAACATGGGTTTAGTGCACGTAAGGGAACAACACGGCTTGACGTGGAAGGGAATGTGAAGACACAAGAATTTGTTGTTCCAAGAAGGGTTTCAGTATCAAAGTCAATACTGTTGATCGTCACATGCTCATACTCCAGTCACAAGAACAGGATGTAAGGCTAGAGTCGTAGTTACAGCAACAAATACAAACGATCAGTGGGTTTATAAGTAAGTCTGATCATAAACATAATCATGCATTGTGCACACCTCTATGACACCATTATGCTTCTAATAGAGCTGTAAGTAAGGCTGATATCGATGAGGCAACAACATTGAAAGAGGTCGGTGTTGGCACGTCACATAATGAATATTTAACGCAGCAGGCAGGGGGCTATCATAATGTTGGATTTACACATAAAGACCTCTACAATGCACTTCAAAGAGGTAAAGCAAAGGAAATCGTCGATGGGATGTGAATGCGCTTATTGCCTACTTTGATTATAAGAACCTGATGATCCCGGTTTTTTTATGACATACTCGGTAGACGAATCGGGGGCATTGTATAATCTTATTTGGTCGGATTCTACATCGAGATCGGATTACACATGCTTCAGTGATGTAATTGCGTTCGACACAACGTACAAAGATAATTTGTATGGTCGACCAATTATGCCTATTGTTGGTGTCAATCATCACCATAACACATTATGTTTGCCACTACCATAATCGCTTGACGACGTCTCAATCTTTCGGTGGGTGCTACAGAATTTTTTAGAAGCCATGATGAATAAATCACCTATTTCAGTTGTCACCGTGGGATAGGGCAATGCAAGGGCTATCAATTTATCCCTTATGCTAAGCACATATTATGTTCTTGGCATCTTTCTCGCAATGCACAAGCTAACATTGGTGACCCAAGTTTACAGCACATTCTCAAATGCATGGCTTCCTGGTGGACAACCAAGGAATTTGATATTCAATGGCGTTCGGTTGTTTCAGAATTCAACGTCCAAAGCATCCATGGGTGATTGAAAGGGAAATACACACACTTATGGGCACAAGCATATCTAACCGGTCATTTCTTTGCCAATATTCGCTCAACACAAAGGTGCGAGCTATGAATGCTTCACTAGCTATTGCACTGAACACAAGAAACATATTTAGATTGTTCGTGCAATTGAAGATGGAATTATAGAAGTGTATGAACGTTTGAAAGCGGATTACTTAAGTTCCCATACGAAGCCCTTCCAGATCAAAAAATTGTCGACCATGAAAGCCATGCGCTGCGATTTTTACCCGCGAATCTTTTCGTGTGTTCCAAGATGAACTTATACGGGAGACATTGTACCAGATTGAGGCAGAGATTAGTCCTTATCATGATGTCAACATTATATTTTTCAAAGTATCAGCAAAAATATGAATTTGAAATTAGTTT